GCGCGTTGGATCACCACGCGTAGAATCACCACGCGTAGAATCACCACGCGTTGTATGACCACGTGCCAAATTACCTACGCGTTAGACTACGTACGCGTTGCATCGCCACGCGTTGTACTACCACGCGTCGTGTCACATGACACATAGAATCTCCACGCGCTAGATCACCTATGCGTTGTATGACCACGTGCCAAATTACCTATGCATACAACCACTTACACATTGCATCCACGCGTTGTATCGCTACATACGTCCCCTACAATCCCTATCGCCCAACATTAAATAACCATGCGTTGCATCGCCCATATTAGATTACCCACGCATTATATCGCCATTGTCTGACCAGGACATTATCAAAGTCACGAGTACAATTATGAAGATACATACAGTATTGTGTAGATGTAATTGTAAAGATATAATATATCTGCACAATACGAACGATTGTATTTATCATTGGCCAGTTGTTTATTGTTTGCGACGGGAGGAATTTTCGAGCATACGTCTGTGGTAAAATTCACGCATCTCTGTACATGTAGCACTTAATATGCTCGTCTCGAGACGGTTCGATCGCCTCGTATCGACTATTCGTCGCTATCCAATGCATGTATGTAATACGTTGGCGAAGCTGAGGTAGAGCGGTGGGGCAGTCATACACCGTGAAACGAAACGAAACGAAGAGCCGAGCAAGCACTCTGGCGCCCTCGATTTCACTTTCATTACGAGGCCAAAGGAGCGCTTCGCTTACGCTCATTCACTCTCGTTCCTTCGTCGTTACATACATATGTATGTACATACGATGAGGTGAGCGCGAGCGCGCACTTAGCCTATATTTTTACGCTTGCTTGGATACAGCTCGACAAACTGGAACTCTTCCTCTCCTGCGGTTCTAGAGCCGAGCAAATTCGATACGGTATATCGAAACAGTACATCCTGGTCCTCGATGTAATCTAGAAACACTATGGGGCATAATGTAAGTGGCAAACTTGCCCTGGGTATCATAATCGGAAACACTCTGCGCTTTAGCTCTTATGTATTTTGTAAAATATCACTTTTACTGATGTACTTTTATGTCGTACATGTTTAGTCTTTTTTTGAATAGTGAACACGTACGTGGACATATATTTCCCTTGCATAACATTCAGATGGATTTAAGAACGTTAATCTTGAGAATTTAAAAGCTGACTTCGTAAGAAAAATTAAATTATTTCTAAGTTTGAAGAAAGTCACCGAAGAGGTTATATAAGGAGATAAATTGTACTGAGCAAACAAGTGAAAATCATAGAAGTTTTTAAAAGTACTGAAATTTGGTTGAAGACATGTCAGAAATGGCGAAGGTCTGAACGTAATGTGAGTAGAAAGAGAGGTGTTCTGAAAGAGACTTTGCAGTTAAGGTAAATTACAAGGGAATGACAAGTTTGCATGGACGTTTAACCCGATACATAAATTACCTAGCATACCATTAAAAGATAATTAAGACCATTAAACGTCACCAAAAATGTACATTGTCCAAACGCCTGAACCGCCTTCGAAAATATTCAATTTATAGAATTAGTTTTTTTATCGTAATGAACTGTCGCGTCTGAGGGAAATCAATAAATGAAAATGAACAAAAAGTGTTTTCAATTTGAACGTTTTCGCGAAACCACGCCGCAATTAGTTTTGCCATTTTTTGTGTAACGGCTGTTTTATCGTTTGGAGATAAAAAGCAATTACCACGCTCCACGATGCTTAAATTATCATTGAAAACCGTCGCCGTGTAATCTGTTTTAGCGAGGAGAACACGAATTACCTGCTCGTTACGACTGGAGAGGATGATTTTAGGATTAGGCAACTGTTTCCCCCGTAAACGCGGAATTAGGAAATCGTCCGTGCTCGATTACCCAGAATAAATAAAGGCATCGCTGCTTAATTCTTTATTTGTATCCGTTTAAACTTACAATTCTGCTCCAGTTATGTAGATTCGATGGCACACTTCGGGATAACTAAAACCGGAAAATTACAAGATTGGAATTCTCGATTAATATATCAACGTACAATAATTCTCAAACGCAGAATTTCACCTAATTTGCACTTTTAAACTCTGAGGAGAAACTTCGATATTTACTTATCAGATTTCTATGCCATCACTAATTTTCAACAGGCATTACAGTTTCAACTTTCTCTATTTCCGAACTGCAACTTTTATGATCGGGTCATAAATATCGTCTTGCATGAACGGAAGTTTAACAAATGTAGAGATTGGTGTTCTAGATTTTAACACGATCGACAAATTCAAACCGTAGAGGTAAATTATGGTTTCACACGGACAAATCTTGGGTGAGTCAATGAACAAGTTTCTAAGACGAAGTTTCCCCAATATCGTGTCAAATTGATACTCGAATCGAATTGTGTCGAATTGGGAACTGCCGCGAATTTGATTGCGTCTGATAAAATTTGGAAACTGCATCAAACTGATTTGGAATTGGAATGCGCTGAAATTCCGCGCATCGAATCCTTGCACACCAAATCCCTATGCGTTGAATTTCCACGCGTGGAATCTCTATGCGTTGAATTTCCACGCATCGAATCCCTACGCATTGAGTTTCCACGCGTGGAGTTCCTACGCATTGAATTTCCACGCGTGGAATCCCTACGCGTTGAATTTCCACGCGTGGAATCCCTACGCGTTGAATTTCCACGCGTGGAATCCCTACGCGTTGAATTTCCACGCGTGGAATCCCTACGCGTTCAATTTCCATGCGTGGAATCTCTACGCGTTGAATACTTACGCATCGAATCCCTACGCGTTGAATTTCCACGCGTGGAATCCCTATGCGTTGAATTTCCACGCGTGGAATTCCTACGCGTTGAGTTTCCATGCGTGGAATCCCTACGCGTTGAATTTCCACGCGTGGAATCCCTATGCGTTGAATTTCCACGCGTGGAATTCCTACGCGTTGAGTTTCCATGCGTGGAGTTCCTACGCATTGAATTTCCACGCGTGGAATCCCTACGCGTTGAATTTCCACGCGTGGAATCCCTACGCGTTGAATTTCCATGCGTGGAATCCCAACGCGTTGAATACCTACGCATCGAATCCCTACGCGTTGAATTTCCACGCGTGGAATCCTTGCACTCCACATCCCTACGCCTTGAATTTCCACGCATCGAATCCTCGCACTCCAAATCCCTACGCGTTGAACTACGAAACTGAATTCATAAACAACAAATTGAATTACATCAAACAGTGCTATAGTCCCTCTTGACACCGAAGTTAAGAGTCTTAAACCATCCTCAGCAAATTGACGTAGAGACGGACTTGAAGACACTCGATCGCTTCACATGAGTGCATTCCGATCGACACGTTCTCATTACTAGCATAGCATCGAAATTAACTTTGAATTTGGCCGTGTGTCCAAGAACAGAGAACCCTAGACATCCGCCAGTATAACAGAGAGAGAGAAGTAGAAGGAGAGTATTTCATAATGCGAACGAAGAAACTCCGTGGTAGCTGCCAGGAATTGACATAATCGGTGAAAGTACGTATCCACTACCTTGGCCTTAGGTTACGACTCGCGCTTAGGATAAATGAAGTATAGAGAAGGATCGCGAGCCGTACTCCATAACGGGCCACGTAACTTAGCTTCGTGTACGGGTCGCTTAACGCCTTGTCGCTTTTACCGTGCTCCACATACGAGCTCTCGCGACCAAAGTGGGCTGACTCGCGCAACGAGACGTTCTCGTACATTGCGATTCGCCCCGAGCGACAGCAACACGCTCGCTCGTGCAGGCTGTTTCAAAACGAAGGCCAAGGTCGGTAATCACCGTCCTCATCCTCGCTAACACCCTCTTCAGCCTCACATTTCCTCTTTGATCAACTGTCTACTGTAGGGGCAAGGAGGTCACATAACACTGTTGAAACTGTAGTGATTCAACACGTGGGATTTGGGGAGTTGGGATTCGGCACGTGGCGATTTAGTGTGTGGGGGTTTGATTATGTGAAGATTCGATGAGTGGGAGTTCGGAGCGTTGGGATTCGGGGCGTAGGTATTTGAGGCGTAGGGATTTGGGGTGCAAGGATTCCACGCGTGGAAATTCAACGCGTAGGAATTCGATGCGTAAATATTCAACGCGTAGAGATTCCACGCGTGGAAATTGAACGCGTAGGGATTCCACGCGTGGAAATTCAACGCGTGGAAATTCAACGCGTGGAAATTCAACGCGTAGAGATTTCACGCGTGGAAATTCAACGCGTAGGGATTCCACGCGTGGAAATTTAGCGCGTAGAGATTCCACGCATGGAAATTCAACGCCTACGCGTTGAATTTCCACGCGTGGAATCCTTGCACCCCAAATCCCTACGCCTCAAATACCTACGCCCCGAATCCCAACGCTCCGAACTCCCACTCATCGAATCTTCACATAATCAAACCCCCACACACTAAATCGCCACGTGCCGAATCCCAACTCCCCAAATCCCACGTGTTGAATCACTACAGTTTCAACAGTGTTATGTGACCTCCTTGCCCCTACAGTAGACAGTTGATCAAAGAGGAAATGTGAGGCTGAAGAGGGTGTTAGCGAGGATGAGGACGGTGATTACCGACCTTGGCCTTCGTTTTGAAACAGCCTGCACGAGCGAGCGTGTTGCTGTCGCTCGGGGCGAATCGCAATGTACGAGAACGTCTCGTTGCGCGAGTCAGCCCACTTTGGTCGCGAGAGCTCGTATGTGGAGCACGGTAAAAGCGACAAGGCGTTAAGCGACCCGTACACGAAGCTAAGTTACGTGGCCCGTTATGGAGTACGGCTCGCGATCCTTCTCTATACTTCATTTATCCTAAGCGCGAGTCGTAACCTAAGGCCAAGGTAGTGGATACGTACTTTCACCGATTATGTCAATTCCTGGCAGCTACCACGGAGTTTCTTCGTTCGCATTATGAAATACTCTCCTTCTACTTCTCTCTCTCTGTTATACTGGCGGATGTCTAGGGTTCTCTGTTCTTGGACACACGGCCAAATTCAAAGTTAATTTCGATGCTATGCTAGTAATGAGAACGTGTCGATCGGAATGCACTCATGTGAAGCGATCGAGTGTCTTCAAGTCCGTCTCTACGTCAATTTGCTGAGGATGGTTTAAGACTCTTAACTTCGGTGTCAAGAGGGACTATAGCACTGTTTGATGTAATTCAATTTGTTGTTTATGAATTCAGTTTCGTAGTTCAACGCGTAGGGATTTGGAGTGCGAGGATTCGATGCGTGGAAATTCAAGGCGTAGGGATGTGGAGTGCAAGGATTCCACGCGTGGAAATTCAACGCGTAGGGATTCCACGCGTGGAAATTCAACGCGTAGGGATTCCACGCGTGGAAATTCAACGCGTAGGGATTCCACGCGTGGAAATTCAACGCGTAGGGATTCCACGCGTGGAAATTCAACGCGTAGGGATTCCACGCGTGGAAATTCAACGCGTAGGGATTCCACGCGTGGAAATTCAACGCGTAGGGATTCCACGCGTAAAAACTCAACACGTAGGGATTCCACGCGTGGAAATTCAACGCGTAGGGATTCCACGCGTGGAAATTCAACGCGTAGGGATTCCACGCGTAGAAATTCAACGCGTAGGAATTCCACGCGTGAAAACTCAACACGTAGGGATTCCACGCGTGGAAATTCAACGCGTTGGGATTCCACGCGTGGAAATTCAACGCGTCGGGACTCCACGCGTAGAAATTCAACGCGTAAGGGTTCCACGCGTGGAAATTCAACGCGTAGGGATTCGATGCGTAAGTATTCAACGCGTAGAGATTCCACGCATGGAAATTGAACGCGTAGGGATTCCACGCGTGGAAATCCGACGCGTAGAGATCCAGTGCGTAGGTATACAACGCGTAGAGATTTGATGATTTCACACATAAAGATTCTACGCGTAGGAGTCCCAACACAAAGATTCGACATATGGGAATTCGACATAAAAAACATGGCGGTCAAACCGACAGTGGATTCAACGCATGGCAATTCAGCATATAGGAATTTAGCATGCATAATGATCGAACACGTGGTATTCTAACACATGGCGACAGAGCATATAGTAATTTAACACATGGCGATACATATGGCTATATACCGCGCGGTGATATTGTTCATCGTTCGAGTAATTGCAATCATATGGATCAGAAAATTATCTGTGCAGTTTCCTTTAACAATGTTTAACCTTGCAGTCTCGTGTCTTGCAACAAAGCGAATCCTCATAAAATACTATAAAAATAAGTACCTAATTTATGAACTTAGCAGTTATTCCCGAAAGAGTTTATAGAAGCAATTGCATCTTTCTGACCCGTGAATATTCTAACGCAGATCCAGACAGACTCTATCCTCTTATCGAGCATTTCAAAAAATAATCTCTACGATCCGGTCAAGTAATGGCAATGAAATGTATCTTTGCGACAAAGCCTGAAACGACGCCGTTCGTTCGATATAAGCGTAGCACAGGCGATAACGAGTGGTCACAAGACCGGACAGTAATTTCGTCTCGGCTTATTTTTATCTGTTCCAATGTGATTCTCTCGGGAAACATGCTCGAAGAGGAGACATCGTAAAAGTTACGCGTTTGACCACGATTGGTCAAGAAGCGTTGAGGGATCTTGACCGAACCGATGCTCCTCCTTTCCGCGTGCTTTCAAGCCGGAAAAGGGTTCGACGCGAAGCTGATGCAGACTATACGTGTTTTATACGCGTGATATCCGCAACTGTTTCTCTGACGACAAGTAGCAGCTAGTAATGCCGTGACCTTGACTCTGGCTAGCCAAGCAGCTGGCTGCTCGGCCAGGAATAAGCTCGATGCGCGGTTACCATGTTACCACGCTAATATTAGCGTACACAGCCGCGTGCACCACGAGTGACCGAGTGACCGACGTGTTCCTGGTGCATCCGTTTCATCGCTCACTTCCCTGTGCCGATAATAAAAGACCCCTTACCACGCTTTTCGACGATTAGGCCCGTTTCGTTCGAACTTTAGCTAGGTCATCGAGATGAACACGAAAAGCTAACATGTTCTTGAGGAACAAGCTCGTTCAGGTTCTATGAATTCAAAATAACGAATCTTATTTTGTGAAGAAAACGTTTGGAATCGAGGGACGCTAATGGAGTGACAAGGTATATGTCTTCACGTCCTTAAACTAAGAATAGTTGTTCGCTCAGTCGCCCGGTAGACGTCTACGATGATTTACCTGCGTGAAATCCACCGTGCAGCGCGTCTTTCGCGAGAGAACTAGACACTCGTGGAATATACCGAGCGCGTATAACTCTGATCAGTGGAATTATTCCGCGGGTCAAAGGGTACGCTAGCATATAGGAGATTAAATCTGCTAATTATATTCTTTCTCAGCTACGACCGACTAGTTCGACGTTTAAAGGAACCTAAAGCTCGATTGTATTTATTACATCTCGATACTTCCCAAACTGTTCCACTCTCCTCACACAAACACGATATGATCGCAGAAACGAAAATTCTTGAAACTTCTCGTTTCGCGATCTAACGAGTGTTATCGAGCATTCTTTTTTCGCGAAGATAATGATACGCGAGACGATGAACCGAGCGGTTTTGACCAATGAAAGATTGTGCTCGGAGTCGCGCGAACTGGGCTCATTTCGTTTATCCAAGTTCAAGTTGAATCGGATGCTAATCGTTTGGATCGGTGATGTAATGCTCGTGGGCAAACACGGTAGCCTGCGGGCAATGTTTTCTGATTATCTAACTGTTGAGAGTGGGCGATATATTTAGCTCTTTGGATGTTTGGAATTTTACTATTATTTACTGAGTAGGATGTGGAAGAGATGTTAGAGATTTAGGACTGCATTAATCAAGATTGAAGCAAAGATTTTCGATTTGTGTATGATTACATGAGTTATTGCATGGTAAGAATCATGGAAAAATCTCCAAAAGCAAGTTCAAAAGTCGAAGGTCGTTCCTGTGGTTTAGCGATCTTCAGCAACGAACGAGGAACGATATCGAGACTTATCGCGGGCAGAAACGACGGAGAAACGTCTCGGCGACGAAATGGCGAGAGGAAGAGCATAAGGGTTCAAATAAATGAAAAAAGTAATCGATAACCTTAGTGTATGATAGGGTCGCGTTATTACTGCGCTACTGACGCAATTGTATCGCGATGTAACTCGCAGGGGGTCTCGAGATCGTTGTTATTGTTTTCCACTTGGAAACGATTCGCTCCGAATACTCTTTCCTTCTCGATCTCTCTCTCTTTCGCTCGTTATCGATTTTTATTGTGGCCGACATATATTTAAAGCGTTACACGAATTATCAACGGGAAGCGTGCTGACAGCTCAAATGATGAAATCTCCTTGTCTAATTACTCTTCTGTCCAGCCAGAATCTTGTAACAATTTCAAGTGTTTCCGCGGTTCGGACTTATCGTTATCGCTGCAAAATTGTTCCACGTTACGAAAGCTGAAATGCAGATCGATGGACGACGGGTTTTAGAGGCGATCGTTTTTGTGGATTGTTCAAAGGTGCACCGTTGGACGATAAGCTGGGACCATGAACGAAAATGACCCGATAGCCCTATAACTCCGATAACCCTTTTCTCGGTCGACCGATAAAAACCGAGTCGAAATAATGAATTTAATCCTCTTGATATTCTGCTTTGTACCGTTTTCCATCCACGTTTTAGCCTCTAACGTGGCGATCGCTGGAACTTTGCGTATCAGCTTGAAAATTACAGAGCTGGCGATTTAACATTTATGTTAACCGAGTGATTTTTCGTCTAATCTAATATCTACATCCTAATCTCGGATATCCTCAAATGTTCAGAATTATCTCTAGGTAGCGTTGGCAAGAATGTGAACTAAAAAAGTTGTCTTTCACCATAAAACGTGATGGTATCTATACAATAGTTTGCATCTATTATTTATATTTGTAACTATTTATTTGTATAATGAAGAAATCGTTGTTTGAAGAAATGAAGGTAAATGAAATGTTGCAGAGACGTTTAAAATAGTAAGACGAAGTAAAACGTAGTCTAATCGAACAGTAAGGCCGGATTGCCTTTCGATATCTGATGACTACACAAATTCCAAGAAACACCCCGCTTCCCGCCTCGATTTACCCGCTCGCGGCTCCCGTATAAAAGTAGGTTACGGTTCTCGTCGTTTCCTCGTAAAAACCCCCTACGTGCATACTCGCACACCTACTTTTATCAGGCCCACTCGTGCCTACACGTTCCATCGAGTGGGCATGCTTGTATACGAGTCCGGTGTGACGAGTCAGCAGTAACTGAGATTTCGACATGGATCTCCAAGTATTCCCTGATGTAGCTACCTTCGAACGTATTCAACTATCTACAATTACATTTAATTAATTGAACGCGTAAGAATTCCACGCGTGGAAATTCAACGCGTGGAAATTCAACGCGTGGAAATTCAACGCGTAGGGATTCCACGCGGGGAAATTCAACGCGTAAGGATTCGATGCGTAAGTATTCAACGCGTAGAGATTCCACGCATGGAAATTCAACGCGTAGGGATTCCACGCGGGGAAATTCAACGCATAGGGATTCGATGCGTAAGTATTCAACGCGTAGAGATTCCACGCATGACGCGTGGAAATTCAACGCGTGGAAATTCAACGCGTAGGGATTCCACGCGTGGAAATTCAACGCGTAGAGATTCCACACGTGGAAATTCAACGCGTGGAAATTCAATTAAGGGTTCCACGCGTGGAAATTCAACGCGTCGGGACTCCACGCGTAGAAATTCAACGCGTAAGGGTTCCACGCGTGGAAATTCAACGCGTCGGGACTCCACGCGTAGAAATTCAACGCGTAAGGGTTCCACGCGTGGAAATTCAACGCGTCGGGACTCCACGCGTAGAAATTCAACGCGTAAGGGTTCCACGCGTGGAAATTCAACGCGTCGGGACTCCACGCGTAGAAATTCAACGCGTAAGGGTTCCACGCGTGGAAATTCAACGCGTCGGGACTCCACGCGTAGAAATTCAACGCGTAAGGGTTCCACGCGTGGAAATTCAACGCGTCGGGACTCCACGCGTAGAAATTCAACGCGTAAGGGTTCCACGCGTGGAAATTCAACGCGTCGGGACTCCACGCGTAGAAATTCAACGCGTAAGGGTTCCACGCGTGGAAATTCAACGCGTCGGGACTCCACGCGTAGAAATTCAACGCGTAAGGGTTCCACGCGTGGAAATTCAACGCGTCGGGACTCCACGCGTAGAAATTCAACGCGTAAGGGTTCCACGCGTGGAAATTCAACGCGTCGGGACTCCACGCGTAGAAATTCAACGCGTAAGGGTTCCACGCGTGGAAATTCAACGCGTCGGGACTCCACGCGTAGAAATTCAACGCGTAAGGGTTCCACGCGTGGAAATTCAACGCGTCGGGACTCCACGCGTAGAAATTCAACGCGTAAGGGTTCCACGCGTGGAAATTCAACGCGTCGGGACTCCACGCGTAGAAATTCAACGCGTAAGGGTTCCACGCGTGGAAATTCAACGCGTCGGGACTCCACGCGTAGAAATTCAACGCGTAAGGGTTCCACGCGTGGAAATTCAACGCGTCGGGACTCCACGCGTAGAAATTCAACGCGTAAGGGTTCCACGCGTGGAAATTCAACGCGTCGGGACTCCACGCGTAGAAATTCAACGCGTAAGGGTTCCACGCGTGGAAATTCAACGCGTCGGGACTCCACGCGTAGAAATTCAACGCGTAAGGGTTCCACGCGTGGAAATTCAACGCGTCGGGACTCCACGCGTAGAAATTCAACGCGTAAGGGTTCCACGCGTGGAAATTCAACGCGTCGGGACTCCACGCGTAGAAATTCAACGCGTAAGGGTTCCACGCGTGGAAATTCAACGCGTCGGGACTCCACGCGTAGAAATTCAACGCGTAAGGGTTCCACGCGTGGAAATTCAACGCGTCGGGACTCCACGCGTAGAAATTCAACGCGTAAGGGTTCCACGCGTGGAAATTCAACGCGTCGGGACTCCACGCGTAGAAATTCAACGCGTAAGGGTTCCACGCGTGGAAATTCAACGCGTCGGGACTCCACGCGTAGAAATTCAACGCGTAAGGGTTCCACGCGTGGAAATTCAACGCGTCGGGACTCCACGCGTAGAAATTCAACGCGTAAGGGTTCCACGCGTGGAAATTCAACGCGTCGGGACTCCACGCGTAGAAATTCAACGCGTAAGGGTTCCACGCGTGGAAATTCAACGCGTCGGGACTCCACGCGTAGAAATTCAACGCGTAAGGGTTCCACGCGTGGAAATTCAACGCGTCGGGACTCCACGCGTAGAAATTCAACGCGTAAGGGTTCCACGCATGGAAATTCAACGCGTAGGGATTCCACGCGTGGAAATTCAACGCGTGGAAATTCCACGCATGGAAATTCAACACGTAGGAATTCCACGCATGGAAATTCAACACGTAGAGATTTGGTGTGCAAGGATTCCACGCATGGAATTGCAGTATCTTGCAATTATCCGAAATCAAATTGTTTAGGTGTCCAAAGTGCTCTTCGTATCTCCAAAATATCCTGGTAAATTTACCTCGATTTACCCTGATACGATTTCTTGCCACATCAAGCGCCACTCTTGTAACATCTTGCCACAATTGCGAACAGTTTACTCCAGCAAGAGATATTCTTAATATGAAAGAAAATATGTTAGATACAACTCTGAATCGTTATTGCATCAGCACCGTATCGCGATCAGAAATTTGTAACATGTAAACCGTACACACCAACAAAAATAAGGAAAAAGATATTTACGAGTGCGAACACAAAACGATAAACGGCAGAATTCATAACAAAACGATGATGGAAATGTCCGACAAAGATATCGTACAGATCGATGGTATTATTAATGGTAAATAATAAACAGATCGTTGACTATTATTTGTTCGTTCTGTTATTACGTAGGCCGAGTGCAGGGAGGTGGGTCTATTCATTTTTCCTATATCGCAGAACATATTCCCGCACAATACGATGCGTACGAGGCGATCGGCGTATGCATAAAGCAATAAACACGATTTTTACGTTGATCGGCATACGCACTTATTCCGCTCGAGTGACGATTTGACTCGGTAATGATCGCTCGCCGGTAATTACGCAATGGGGGTAGAACTCGGCACGATCGTTGAGTAAGAGACGAGGTGAAGGTGAGCAGTTAGCAGCGAGAGTAAGTAGCGGTCGCTGGCTGCAGCTGATCGCTAGCTACCGTGGGTGGGAAATGGAGGAAACAGGACCAACGACCGCGTTTGCGATTCTCGATCGTTTCTTTGTAGATCTCGTTCAAAATCCATTTCCACTCAATTACATAGTCCCTAAGATTTTCTAGGATGCACTGAATGAATGCATTTTCAGAATTTGGGAATTTGAAGGTTTAGAAGCTTGGAGTTAGGATGGATGTAAATTTGTGGAGTTAGGAATTTTTGAAGATTCAGAAATTTTATAGATTCATTTTATGAGTTAACTTGGAAGACTTCTAACTTGTAACTCCTGAAGCATCTATACAACTCCCTACACCTTTGAAGCTACATCAGAAATCCTAATTTGTCCTGATACGTCTATGAAGCTACATCAGACATCCTCATTCAACCTAATAAGTCTATGAAGCTACATCAGAAATCCTCATTCATCCTAACACATCTATGAAGCTACATCAGAAATCCTAATTCATCCTAATGTTCTGTTATTACGTAGGCCGAGTGCAGGGAGGTGGGTCTATTCATTTTTCCTATATCGCAGAACATATTCCCGCACAATACGATGCGTACGAGGCGATCGGCGTATGCATAAAGCAATAAACACGATTTTTACGTTGATCGGCATACGCACTTATTCCGCTCGAGTGACGATTTGACTCGGTAATGATCGCTCGCCGGTAATTACGCAATGGGGGTAGAACTCGGCACGATCGTTGAGTAAGAGACGAGGTGAAGGTGAGCAGTTAGCAGCGAGAGTAAGTAGCGGTCGCTGGCTGCAGCTGATCGCTAGCTACCGTGGGTGGGAAATGGAGGAAACAGGACCAACGACCGCGTTTGCGATTCTCGATCGTTTCTTTGTAGATCTCGTTCAAAATCCATTTCCACTCAATTACATAGTCCCTAAGATTTTCTAGGATGCACTGAATGAATGCATTTTCAGAATTTGGGAATTTGAAGGTTTAGAAGCTTGGAGTTAGGATGGATGTAAATTTGTGGAGTTAGGAATTTTTGAAGATTCAGAAATTTTATAGATTCATTTTATGAGTTAACTTGGAAGACTTCTAACTTGTAACTCCTGAAGCATCTATACAACTCCCTACACCTTTGAAGCTACATCAGAAATCCTCATTCATCCTAATAAGTCTATGAAGCTACATCAGACATCCTCATTTGTCCTAACACATCTATAAAGCTACATCAGAAATCCTCATTCATCCTAACACATCTATGAGGCCACATCAGACATCCTCATTCATCCTAACGCATCTATGAGATGTATCACAGTCTCCACATAGTAGAAACAGTTTAATAATTGAAAATTCGATGCAAAGTTTCAAACACTCCAACTTTTTTGGGAATAACCTCAGATAGCTCTGCGCGTCCGAGTAGATTAGCCGGTCGCGAAGATACGCGTTTAAGTTTAAAGTTTTTTGCGGGCGAATGACAACAATTGCCACGAGCAGAGGAAATGGAAGCAGCCGTAATACGCCGCGCGTGTAGGTACCAAGGACCGCAAAGTTTTTTCGCGTGCCGATAAGAGGAGTATCATTGTGACTTTTCCACACGCGTGCTTCGGCGTCTCGAGGCAAAGCTCGCGTCCTTGCGCGGATTGAACGTTGAACCCCGACACTGACACGAACCAGGCAGCATCTTTTTCGTCTGTTGATCGTCGTGAATCATCCAGCCAGGTCAACGAGTTCGATACTACGTGTCGACGCAAATTTTATCGATGCAAAAGTTCAGAAACGTATGTGCGTATCTGGAGAGGTGCTGATCGAGGAAATCCACATTCGCGAAACTTGATAACGACTGTCATCGATAGTCGATTGATGGAACTAATGGAATCTCTGGAAACGGAGGAAATTGAGATAGGCCTCGTGGACTCTCGTTATATTGCCTCGGATGGACAATAACACGTTCGAGTTAGCCAAAGAGGCTGTTAAACTGTACAATCAATGATGTTAACTGCGTAGCTGCTAATTTTTTAAATGGAGCACATGTTCGTATGAAAACATACGATAGAAAGAAATCGAACGGGACAATAACAAAATCATGAATTACCATCAATGCATTAAGCATGGACAAAAGGTTTCGTACGCACTAAATGAATGTAACGGGGAAAACATGTTTTGTTCGCCGTTCAAGTTTGTACGAATGAATCAACGTGATCGATTATTTTGTTTATTTGCCGCTGATATAATCGTGCTTCCGTCACGAGCGTCCCTTTACGTTCGCAATTTTATATCCGACATTTTTCTATGAATCGCGATGTGAACTTTGAGATCAGCGATGCAGCGAGAAAAAGACGAGAAAACGTCGAGGAAAATCGAAGGATCAAGGGACAGCAATGGAAACGATCAACTACGAGAACTTATCGAATCTTGCGTCGCACCGTCGACCTCGTCGACCCTCAAAACCCGATAATACCAACAGCTCCTCCGTTCGAATGCGCTCGCGTGTTATCGAACGCTCTCTCGAACAGAATCGAAACGATCTGTAGGAATTTATATCTATGGAATTTCTTTGCGCCGAATTTTAAAGAAGCATGGATTTTTAGGTTTGTGGATCTGTAGATACTTAGGTCTGTAAGCCTCTAGTAGCTTATATATATTCATAAACCCCTTAGTATAGATTTCTGGATGTTTAAAGATCTAAATCTTTAAACCTTAGATTAGTTCGTTCCCCAAATTGCAGTATTTTATCTTATATGTAAATCTACCTAGTCAGCACGTTTCTGAATCCCCACAGTATGTGAGTCTCTGTATTCTAGATTTCTATATTTCCAAGTTCCTACGTCCACAAATTCCCACATCCCCAAATTCCCACATC